ATTTTTTAATTTATTTGAAAGAGTATTTTAGAATCAAAATTTATTTTGATGATTTATTTGAAAGAGAAAAATAGAATCAACATTTATTTTGATGATTTTATGTTTTAATTTATTTGAAAAAGAAAAATACAATCAAAATTTATAATCTTCCTCCTCACAATCATTTATAAACTTCCCTAATACACCTCTTACACCACCAGGACCATTAAAAATGCTACTCATCTATTTTAAAGCATTTTATATCATATGCCATGTGCATTGTCTATGATTTGTGTTGAGCATCACACATGAAATGGCCTGAGCCATTACCGCATCCTGATCTGTGAAAAAAGTTTTTTGGATGCTTATTTGGCATTTCCTCTAAAAAAGTGTGAAATAACCATATAAGCGAACCTACCGCTTCATCATACATCAATGCAGCTCCAAAAATAATGGTCTCTTTGTGATTATTGCAGCCAATGAAAATAGCAAATGGTCAACTCTCTTTATTAATTTTATACGTTGTGTCAAATGTCACAACATTCACAAACTGACCATAGTCAATTATCATTCTAACATCTGCCCAAAAAATATTTGTTATTTGCTCTTCACTATCCAACTGCACGACATAAAAGAATGAAGGATTTTCTACTATCTGATCTTGAAAGTATTTTAATATGCTCCCTAATTCTCTGAATGCCAACATTTTCTATCTTTTTGTTCTTCAGATAATTCTTTTGGTCTTGTTTAAAAAACCTAACACATTCCCCTCCTCCTGCCTCTCTACTCATTAACTCATACGATGACCGAAGAGGTATCCCAAAGTCAGTAGCCAAATCAATTTCAATAGATTGAGAGGTGAAAATTTTTCGTTGAGAATGAAGCATATGAGCACATTCATTTACTACAACAGAATGGTTGTGCATTTCTACGAAGTTGGTAGCAGTATACTTCCCAGTTTTCCTATTTAATTTAATGTTCATTGAAGCACCACAACCAATCCTTGTCTCTGCCCTTGCATTATTTACAATGTAATATTTTTTATCAGCTTTTCTATGTCCCTCCTTAGAACAAGCAAATGCTCTTGAAGTAATTTCACCCGTCTTGCTTTTGTGAGCATATTCTCTTCTAATACTAAATCCAATTCTTCCTCCATAAGAATCATAAAAATCATATGCAAATTGCTCAGAGTCAAATTTCATACCAAGTATAGGTCCAAATTGTGTATCATCCTTCCCACATTGTGCATTAGCCATCTTTGATATACGCAACGCCTACAATGCAAAAAATTAACTTATCAGATAAAAATCTCTTAAACATGAATGGCATAGATGAAATTAGGTGACAAATCCAATAAACTAATTTTTTTTATTATACTAACTTAAAAAGGCGATTCACAAATTAGGTACAACAAAAATTATATATAACACTAACATGTTATCATCATTGAATAAAAAGCACTTTCATAAAGAACAATTAAAAAAAAAAATAAAAATAATAAAACAGAGCACCAAATGTTATAAAGAAGACAGAGCACCAAATGTAATAAAATAAAGGGAAAAGTTAGGGATCATGAAATTTTTTTCATGAAAATGATTATAAAAAATTTATGATCCTTGAATTACCTTGAATAGTATGTGGTGCTTTTTCTAAGTGTAATCTAATGATCACAAAACTTTCATGATTATTTTCATGAAAGGTTTTTCATGATACCTAGTATTGCTGTAAAATAAATAAAAAAACAGAGCACCAAAAGTAATAAAATATTTTTATAATGTAATTGGATAAAATGCATTACTTTGATATAGGAATCAAAAGCAATAAAAACAAATCACTAAACTTGATACTTGAACCAAAAAATATATATATATACAGAGAAAGGAATTAATTTTGTTTCAAAAAGAGGGAGAGAGAGTGAGAGTTGATAACGTAAATAAACACAACACCTCCAAGCAAATCAACACAACATCTCTTCCAAGGATATATATAGAGTTGATAATGTACCAATGCCAGATACAGAGTCGCCACCTAAATATTTTTTATAGGGGAATTTAGGAAACCCTGACTCAGTGCCAAAGGCCACGTGTCCATCATCACCAAAGTTGCTTCGGCTCGGGAGCTTGGGTACGATTGAGGAAGGTCAGCTATGAGCACCCCCTCTCGCCCGATCCGAAGATCAGCCTCTACCAACCGTGATATCCTTTTTTGAAAACGTTATGTGTTCTTATTCCGGTTATTAGCCTAGAATTACTATGTTATGCGCACAGCAAACAAGTATAGACCAAATCGCCTAAATTGGAACAAAACATTACATGTTTGTTTTGAAAATAGTTTGCCACTCGCAAGTAGGCTAAAATGCAGGTTTTGTCACCCTCAAGTGGGCTTTAGAAAAGATGGTTTTGCCACTATCTAGTGGGCTTAAAACTCACAGTTTTAATGCGTTATCCCAATTTAGGTAATTCAACCTCCATCCACAGGCATTCAAGCAGTTATATCACATAAGCAGCTAGCCTCATGGTAATCATGCAATTATGGCAACACTCACACGCATGCGGTATGCTAAAGCAAAAGGACTTACAGAGTACTCCAAGCCAAAACAGAAACTAGTTAGTAATCATATGTATGATCCTAGTTCATGTTAAGATGGCTAATGTAACACATGCGGAATGTCACTAGAGTAGACTCGGCTAGTCTATAAATGACATGTGAAAGTGCACAAGTAGCATGTATTCAAGTTAGATTTGAAATACTTATGCAGTTAGTATGATGCGCCGAGCCTGGTGCATGCAATCCTGATGAATGATGCACGCATGCATAGCATAAGGTATGCTAAAGTAAACATGTCCTAATACTAACCATCAAAAGCAGGTAAGTAAAAGGGAGAAAGAAGTGGGGGTTGGAAGACATGCACACACGCACCCACACTTATTACAAATTCACCCTCACTCGGAGGGACCAAAAGAATAATACAATTAATTAACTACGAGCTAACTAATTATTACAGTCCGTTAACTAGTTAAGCAAATTAACTAATCTAGGAAAACAGTAAACAGCCTTGGAAAGAGGGCCCCATGCAATGTATGCGCGGTTCCGCTCGGAAAGTCATAGCCATGCACAAGTTGCCTCCACTTTGACTGTTATCCTCCTCTGAAGATTGCACAAGTCCCAGGGTTGCTTCTCTGAATGCTTCGGAACATCGCCGGCTAAGGGGATTTGCCACCGGCCATGGAGAATGACCACCAGCCTCTGATTGAGATATCGGCCACTGAAGGATGGCCGGTCGGCACTGCATATGGCCGGTCGGCCAAATCTTCCTGCAGAATTTGTTTTGACAGCAGCAGAGGGCAAAACATGGCATGGCAATGCATTTCAAGCAATGTTTGCACCAACCACACTCCTTATCATGTTTATGACTCAAAGGAGGATGGTGCTTGACCCTCGGACCACCAATCGCGCATTTCAATGCGTGATGGCCCAAGAAACCAAGTTGTGCATTTTGATTTCAAATGACATGCAAACCAATTAAACATATAAAGCCCAACCTCTATCATACTCAATTCAAGAGGCAAAGCATGCATGCTCTATGCAATGCAACCTAGGCATGGAGGCTAAGTATGCAACATGAACATGAGGACAAGTATGCAAGTTAGCAAACATGCAAAGTGTGATCTTAACCATGCACACATGCAAGGCATGTAACATGTTAGGAAACTTAGCAAGAAATGCATGCCAAATGCAACACCATTTAAACATGCAACAAAATGTCATGAGCCAAGTACCTAAGCATACAAACATGCATGCAAACATGGTTGAATACCTAAGCATATAGAAGCAACTTTCAAGCACACTTAAAAGGGGCAAACATTAGCACATAGCATACATGATAAGCTTTGAAAAACATGTAGAAGATGATGTCAAATCAACCTACCAATGCAAGTAAAGCATGTATCCAAGCCCAAGGACTTAAACTATGATCATATGACACACGAAGCAAATGATCAAAGTGAATCAAAACAGTCCCAAATCATGCCAAATTAAGGTCAAAGACACACCTAGATGGCATCTAAATGGCCTATACATGGAAGCATACAAATAGGAGCCAAACATGGAGCATAAGCTATCAACTCTCCAAAGCATGAAAAGGGATGGAAAATGCAAGTATGAAAGCATGGAATATGGACTGAAATATGGTCTCCAATGATGCCAAATCATGAGAACAAGCCAAGTAAAGCATGCTAGTGACACACACATCCAAGGCTAACAAGCTAGAATGCAAAGAGGCTATACAAAGCATGGAAAGCATGACCAAAACGACACCAAACAGAACTTAGACATGTTAAAACGTGACTAAAAACTTCACAAAGCTAAGCCAAAACATGCAAGCATGGTGGCCCAAATGCGAGATGCCTTTCTAGGCAAAATAAAGGAATGCAAGGCAAGTGTAAGGTGCATGTAAGGGACCATTAAACCAAGCAAAAACAGTAACATGGTATGTCAAATAAGCCCCAAAAACCCATGGAAACAAGGTCCACACATGCTAGAATGGGGCGTTCCTTTGAAAGGCCAACAAGAGGGTTACTCTACACATGCAATAAGGACATTCAACAAGACCAAACCAACTCTGGAAATGGCTTGTGGGGGTCCTAAAACCCACTGAAAAATGCTTGAAACAAGGCTTGGAAGCATGCAAATAGGAGCCCCTTTGGAAGGCCAAAAAGGGCACCAAGCAAGGCAACAAGGGAGAGGGTCACCCCTCTCCTTCTTAGGACCTTAAACCACCATCTTCACCACTGAAATCCCTCAAGATTTCAGTGGTGAGGAGGCCCAAACAATGTGGTCCCGAAACTCACCAAAAATAGCACAAAATGGGGCCAAACAAGGCCTAAGAGGGGGTAAACGACCCCAAACACAAAAGTGGTCTCAATGAAGTATCTTAAACACAAAGAAAACAGAACTTTTTTATGTTATACACAAAGCCGAAATCCGCAAGAAAGACAGGCTAAAAGGGTGTGCAAAAACGGGGAATAAAGAGGGACAAACATTTTGAAATTGATAATCTAACCATATTCTTTGAAAAAGTTTAAATTATCTCAAATTAGTCATCTCAACTTAAGAGTGTGTTTGGGCTCAATGGGTTCATTTTGTGATCTAATTCAATGATCA